ACAATGCAAGTGCGAAAATTATGATTTTTAATATCACTTTATGTTCAGTGAATGATGAAAAGTTGAGTTTACGCAGCTGTGAGAGGCGTACCTTAGGTAAATTAATGAAGGATATAGGATTTGAATGTGTGAAGCGTTGTTGCAAAAGTATAATGTAATATCTGCTTGATGCAGGATATGCAAAAGGATTTATAGCCGGCGCCGACTGAGTTTTCTTAGCAAAGAAAAGCGACGGCGATTATCATGACGAAATGAACGGCGAATTTTTCGAGAAATGATTTACCCAACAATGGACAAAATGTTGTTGGTATGGATAACGCTTCCTATCATTGTTGTAAATTTACGTATCCAGTGACCTCATCGAAAAAAACATTTTCTTTGACGACTGCTACTTGAAATCAGAGCTGCAAAATACTGGATATATGATTCAGTTTAGCACCGTATCACTGTGAAGCGATATGTGGCATTGAACACCTCCGATTTCAATACAGAACATGTCACTTCGTTAATAAATTTGAGTAATTATGCTTCCTTAATTTTGTCCTATTAAACCTAGTATTACGGAAAGCTTAAAATAAAAATGATCATCCTCTTGTTTGTTTTTTCTGGTTATTAAATAAGCTGTCAATTTGTATCCAATTTATAATCCAAAATTCGATTTAATCGATTTTCGAAAATAACAAGATACAATGATTTTTCTTTAGCGATATCCCTGTTCAAATTATTAATGGTTTCGGGATCGAAGTTTTCGGTGGATCGTTGAGGTAATCCCACGAGACAACTTTTAAGTTCCACGTAGATTTCTCACCGAACTGAGTTGTCCTTTTACTAATAGTCAATATTTTGCTTTTGTCACCAACCTTCAGTTTTTGACAACTTACAAACTCTTTAAGAAAGAAGTTGTCGTTAGTGTTTTTTGGGAAAGAGGACATCGTTATATACATACTTATAGATTTTTTACAAATATGGAGGGGAGAGAAAAACATCGAAAATTGCCTAACGCAACACAACAAAGTAACACGAACAGTTTTTAATATGGCGCGTACGCCCATTGGAACATACTGCGTATGCGGGCCCCGAAAAGTTTCTGCAAAAACCTTGAATGAGAACGTATGCGCCTACCCGAACATACCCGGAGATTCAAAATGGAACACCACAAATGATCGAATGTTCAAATGATCGAAAATCCCGAACGACGTTCGGTCCCGTTTCGGAAAGTCTCGGTGAGTCTCGCCTCGCTGATATATATATATATATATATATATATATATATATATATATATATATATATATATATATATATATATATATATATATATATATATATATATATATCAAAGTGGCAGTACGTTATGACCTTTCTTGGTAATTTTTAAAGTCTTAAATAAATATATTTGAGAATTATTAAAAAAATTACTGGTGTAGTGTGTAGTGTAGTGATGTGGGAAGGTGTATAAAGGTAGAAGTTACTTTTGTCCTAAAAATAAAAAATATTATTATAGGATTTTAATTGTACAAGGCACTGTACAATTTATGGAAAAAATTATGGCGGAAATACCATATTTTGGGAATAATAATAATTATTATTATTTTTGTTTCATTTCAACCATTTAAACAGTTTTATATCATAAAAGAGAACAATCAGTACAAATATTTTCTGCTACACCAATTCAACAACAAAAGATTTGATGGGGCCACTAGGGACATTTCTGGGCCGCTCTGGGGCCGTGAGTCCAGAAACCAGGTCCACGATGCTGTAGATTTAAAGTATTTTTGTGTCACCATAAGTACATTTTTATGTGATTCTCATGTGTAGACTAGTGGTAGGGGCCCTTAAATGTGTGTTATCCCAAGGCTCACTCGCAACTGACTAGAACAAATTGCACAGTAAATTCAGTCAGCTTATAATCAGTTTTATTCCCATCATCAGCTATAAACCCTACTTATTTTGCTAAAAAATGAATTTTGTTGTGGACATTGTCATTCATAAAATTGTTATAAATTTGATTTCATAGACGTCAACTTTTACCTTAGCCGGTGAATGTAATAAATTGGGGCTACAATAATAACAAAATATTCAAAAGATACTCACGGGTTAATAAAAAATAGTTTTTTGAATGCGGGTTGTAGCACCCTTCGATAAAATTAGCCTATATTTTTTTGGAAACAATAATTGACCGCATGCATAGGAATTCATGTGTCCTGCGCAGATTTAGCAACCGATGTACATCCTGTATCTTTAAAACAAACACCGTTTTCCTAATTCGTATTCGGATTATACCTATCTAATACCGACTGTCAAATTGCAAAGTCTGACATTTGGCCGTCTGCTACATCGAGATCCATCGCGAGGCGAGACTCACCGAGACTTTCCGAAACGGGACCGAACGTCGTTCGGGATTTTCGATCATTTGAACATTCGATCAATTTTGAATCCTCGGGTATGTTCGGGTAGGCGCATACGTTCTCATTCAAGGTTTTTGCGGAAACTTTTCGGGGCCCGCATACGCAGTATGTTCCAATGGGCGTACGCGCCATATTAAAAACTGTTCGTGTTACTTTGTTGTGTTGCGTTAGGCAATTTTCGATGTTTTTCTCTCCCCTGCATATTTGTAAAAAATCTATAAGTATGTATATAACGATGTCCTCTTTCCTAAAAAACATTAACGACAACTTCTTTCTTAAAGAGTTTGTAAGTTGTCAAAAACTGAAGGTTGGTGACAAAAGCAAAATACTGACTATTAGTAAAAGGACAACACAGTTCGGTGAGAAATCTACGTGGAACTTAAAAGTTGTCTCGTGGGATTACCTCAACGATCCACCGAAAACTTCGATCCCGAAACCATTAATAATTTGAACAGGGATATCGCTAAAGAAAAATCATTGTATCTTGTTACTTTCGAAAATCGATTAAATCGAATTTTGGATTACAAATTGGATACAAATTGACAGCTTATTTAATAACCAGAAAAAACAAACAAGAGGATGGGCATTTTTATTTTAAGCTTTCCGTAATACTAGGTTTAATAGGACAAAATTAAGGAAGCATGTTGAACATAATTACTCAAATTTATTAACGAAGTGACATGTTCTGTATTGAAATCGGAGGTGTTCAATGCCACATATCGCTTCACAGTGATACGGTGGTAAACTAAATCATATATCCAGTATTTTGCAGCTCTGATTTCAAGTAGCAGTCGTCAAAGAAAATGTTTTTTTCGATGAGGTCACTGGATACGTAAATTTACAACAATGATAGGAAGCGTTATCCATACCAACAACATTTTGTCCATTGTTAGGTAAATCATTTCTCGAAAAATTCGCCGTTCATTTCGTCATGATAATCGCCGTCGTTTTTCTTTGGTAAGAAAACTCAGTCGGCGCCGGCTATAAATCCTTTTGCATATCCTGCATCAAGCAGATATTACATTATACTTTTGCAACAACGCTTCACACATTCAAATCCTATATCCTTCATTAATTTACCTAAGGTACGCCGCTCACAGCTGCGTAAACTCAACTTTTCATCATTCACTGAACATAAAGTGATATTAAAAATCATAATTTTCGCACTTGCATTGTTGAAATTTCTAATAAATCGAACATAAAATAAACTAAATATTTCATATTTGGGGTTATTACAGGCCATTTCATTAGTAGCTCGGGAAATTAATCCAACATACCCTAAACACTCATACTATTACCTGTTTTACAAATTCGCAACATGTCATTCTACTTTTGTATGAGGAATCCATTTAATATCAATCTAAAACTGTCGGACTGCTATACGATTCTCGGCAACTATTATTATCTGTTTGAAAAAAGTCATTAAGGCACAACCAGATACATCTAAATAGTTAGATGTACTACAATTAAGTTTTCTTCATTTTTAGAATAGTTTCTGAAGTAAGTGTCGTTTCAAATCATCGAATTAATTATTAATTTACGTTATTAATAATTCATTATTAAAGGAATTTCAATTTGGTTTCCTACAAGTAATATTTTGTCTTCCCCCTTTAACTTTGTATATTATATGTGCAAAATAGTTCGCCCAAAACAAAATTATAGTTGTGGTTTCAATTGATCCATGTACTGACGTACTGACACTGACTGACTAGTTTGAGAAAATTACATATCATGGGATTAATGAAAAATTGAATAACATGCTAAAATTGTAAAGCGTTACATGTCACTATGTAAAAATAGCTCAACACTAACGGAGTACCGCAAGGTTACGTCCTTGGATTTATGTCCTTAGTTTGCAAATGTATAGTTTTAAAACTCAACGAGCTACATTCTCTGATGATACACATTAATATTGACACAAGTAACCGAGAAGGAATTAGAAAAACGAATATTTAGATGATATTCCAACAAATTGATTAAACTGAATTTATAATTATTAAAATAAAATAGTAGGTAACAATGATCTAGAAATAAATAACCTTAACTAGGAATTAGTATTTAGGTCAAATAATTATTAATTTAATTAATTTAAGCAAAACATAACGTTTAAATAATCTTTTTCAGCTGCCATCAAAATCTTTCAATAGTTTAAGTGATGACATTAGATTTTTTTAATTCTTACAAAATATAATTCTTGGTGTAAATATTACCTTCAAAAACATAGAGGTTTCAAAACTACTTTAGGTACTAGCCCACGTAGTAGTGGTACTTTCGTTATTTAACTCTAGACGCCAGAGCTATCAAAGTACTGACTTCTATCAGAAAGAAAATGTAAATATTTTGTCCTATTTACTTAATAAAGTTGTTTAAGAAATTCCTATGCTGTATATTTACTAAGAAACGAAAAGAATCGTCCATGTCATCTTTACGGAGGTAAACGAATTTCGTTGTAGCTGTTGTTCAACCATTAGTTTCAGTTGCAGAATCGACATCGTTTACTGCCCCTTAGAGGAGGATAGGACAGAGAACATAAGTGCAAATTTAAAATAAACATACGAAGCGTTATAATAAATTTAATCTGGAAGTACACTCACCGGCATAGTTTGACTCCCGTGCAAGCTATTGATCGCTGCTTGTGCTTCCTGATGTGAACTGTACTTCACGAATGCACAACCTATAACAAAGAATATTATTGTAAACGGGATTAGAGAACATCAAAATTTTATGTCGGATTATAAAGAATTGATAGCAGCAGAGGTAATGGGTATACGCCTTGTGAATAAAGAACAAGACGAAATATGTATCGTATATTTAGGTAGCCATTTCCACCAAGGATCCCTAATCTTTCCGTGTCTATTAATTGTCCAGTCGAGTTTTCTCTAAGCGAAAGGCTTTTAATTTAAAATTAGTATATCCATTTCATGAAATGGACAAACAAAATAACTACCTGAAATAAAATGTTATTGCAAGTCTTGTTCGACTTTATAAATTTTTTCTTTATTTTCAGTACCTGATAAATGTTATGTATGACTTATGTTTTGCAGGAAGCAATCATTTAGATATGTTTAACCGGGTGACTAATTGGACAAAAACCCTTATATTAAGTGAAAATGGAAACTGTTTACTATCGATAATTTCATACAAAACATAAAAAACAAACTAGTAGTCAAAAATAGTAAAGAAATAACTTCGGACTGATCAGTTGCCAAATGCCCCAAATTTCGGTCCCGTGCTCTCAAAATCGTAGGAGGAAATTTAACAAATTTAATTACATAAGATTTTCGATATAAAAATCGTCTTGTTTCACCTGTGAATTAATAAAGATGCTGAAATTTTTGAGTATTCCTTATATCAATGTGGTTTGCCTAAATAAAATATAACCAGACAATTACAAGTACAACTTAATAATTTATTTCATAAATAAGGTCTGTAGAAATAACAATAACAAATTGTCAAAATAACCTGATAGAAATCCCATTGTGTTTATTTATTAATTTCTTGAAAAAACTTTATTAATTTTAGATATAGTTTAAAAAAGTTATCGTCTTCATGTGGGATATTTTTGCTTCAAACTGAGGTATATTTGGGATGCTGCCTGCATCATTTAGCATTAAATAAAATTGGCGTTTGGAAACGGCGGAAAACAACAATTTCTGAAAGCTAATGAATTATTTCTTTGTTGTCGAGGCAGTTGAGAATAAAAAGAAAGGTTTTAACGTGCAGAAAAATCTAAATCTCTCGTCATCTCGCCGAAACATGTTTCTTACTGCGGTTCGGGCTTAGAGACTTAATGCCCGACTTAAAAACAACCAGTAAAACATAATTACTTCCTAAAAATGTTTCGCGCTCCGATATTTTCCGCATAAAAATAAGAAAGAACTGTGTAATGTCCCCAAACACGGGTGTTGGGATTAACGAGAAGGCGTTAAAATCCTGCGAGGTATTTTATGGCCGGATTTTATCCTGTTGGAAAGGTTGTTGTCGTCAGCCTACTAAAAACTGATCGCTCGGTCTAACTGGTTAGTAACAAGTTAGCACACTGATTTAGCAAAGTGTGAATAAACATTTTTCTTTTCAAGTAACTTTTGGCGATAGCGTTTAGCAAGGAAAACATTCCTGTAGAAAATTAAAGGGGCAATTTTTATGAAAACTGCTTGCACTAAAAAATATATTCGCGAAGTGTGGCGTGTGTATTTCGGGTCACATACCATTCGTTTCCGTCTGGTAAAAACAACTTTTCTCGATGATGATACATGGTGTATCGGATTCAATTCCGAGTTTTTGGTTGCTTTTTGGAATATATTTTTTTAGAATTTCAGTTGACAGTTCGTGTCAGCAACTCTCTATAGCCCGCTTGCCTCTAGGTTCCATTAGTGCTGTGTGCTGTGTTGCTAATGTCTGTTCACTTGATCCCCGAATAGTCGGTTTGTAATTGATTCCAGACTCCCTTTTCAGACAGATTCGAAATGTTTACTATATTTTAAAGTAGTATTATATAGGAGCTTTTTCGTGTTTTAGTTAATGTCTTAGCTTGCTAAAAATACAAATTCTTGAATTAAGTCAAAAAGTCACAAATCAGGGAAATTGTAGGACCCATTTTGAATGACTTACTCAAAACAAACTGTGCCTTAACAAACGGAACACAGACAGAATGATAGTTTCAAGTAATCGCCAACAGCAAAAAGTAAATCAGTTAAACTGTTGGGCATTCATATATTATTGTGCCCCTTTTTTCTGACATATCGCCTGTGGATTCAAACTGTGGGGTAATTCCCAAACTAATACTGAAATATTTATCTTGCACAAACGAAAAGTGTGGATCTGTGGCCTAACATTTGTGTCCATAAAAATTCTTATTGCTTATTGCAACTAGAACATAATAACTTTTGGGTGCACCTCGCCTTAGACTCTTTGTGGCGGTGAAAAACTCGTTGTATGTAGGTCTCTACCACAGGATGAATATCTCTACTAGATCCAACCACTGCAGTCCTTCAAAAGGAAGGTAAGGGAATATTTGGCAGAAATAACTTTTTATACCTTGTTGTTTAAAATTATTTATACTATTCTGTATCGGAATTGTGTAAAACAATTGTATGTTGATGACATGAAATAAAATCTAATTTAATCTAATCTAATGTAATCCATACTACTTGTAAATTTTTGATTTGCTATATTTGCTTTTTGTAAAACGTATTTAATATAGTATATCATGTAACATTTTTCGTGATTATTTAAAATAATAACAACAAATAAAAGTAATTTCCAGTACAATTGAGTGAAATCCCTGTCAAAATAGAAGTAGAGAATTGTTGATAATCCCAAAGAAGCTGTGATTGATACCTTAGCCTTTTCTGGATTTGGCATCGAGGTTGGATTCAGATTCACTCATTAGATTATATCGTGTTATTTCAATAACACCTTGTATGCAAAAAACGAAGAAAAACTAGCAAATATTAAGTTAAACCTCAAGTACGACAAAGTGACTTAACGGAAGGAAGCGAGATGGCAAATAATTGATTGTGTTGACCTCTTTAGAAGTGTTATTACTTCGGTGCAATTAGTGGTCCCGCTCATTCACACGACATAAATCCATTGTCAGGTCCCAGGAAAATAAAGTTTAGAATACTCCATCAAATACATTGGAAGATCTACCCCGACAAATCATTAACGTATGTTGCCAAGTGACATCTCAGTTACTGCACAATGTAAGGCAACAGTCTCAAGTAAACCTGTATTATCTAGTTGACAGATATGGCACGTGTTTAAGAAAATTTAACGATTCTAACGCTTTTGAACTATCTCATCAAACGTATTGTTGGTATTTTTAGCCCCATCTAACCCTCATTCAAATTTGCTCTGTTTGGACGCGGATGTTCTTTCTCAGCCTACTACAAGAGTGGGGCGATTTGAAAAACTTTCTTGATACAGCCCGAAGAACGTAGCTTTCATTTAATCCAACTTGACTTTTTTGAGAAAGAAAAAAGAAACAATCCTATATAAAAAAACAAGGCGTACAGTTTGGAGCATTCAAGTGCTGATCTTTAGGTAACACTTGTAATATGAAGCAGAAACCGTAAAGTAAATTGATGAGAGCAAACACGCATAGACACATATTTGAGCCGTGTTAAAAATTTTCATATTAAGTGTTCGGAAGAGATTTAATTAATTTCAATTATATTGATATAATTGTTTGGTGGGAGCAAATGCTCCCAAAGGAAAAAATCCTCAACTTCCCGTTTAATCAGTAATAAGGAGAGTTGTGACACCTCCAAATAACAAAGCACATTATATCTTCACAGATGTGACGAGAGACATTTTAATTTATGTTTGACATTTCATAGTTAAGCTTCTGTTCCTGTTGACTGCAGATATGTTTCGGTATTTTAAGATAAATGCTCTTTCTTTTTAAATAACGTCATTTGGTTATACGCACAAATTGGCTATCTCTCTTATTTTTTTCGATATTTCACAGAACACTCTTCTTTTCCAGCACGCACCCACCGAATAAATTGCATTGGTCAGATTTAATAGAGATAAATGCCAACCAAAGTGCCGTTTTAGATCTCATAGTAGCGAAAGGGCTTTAAATATGTCGTGCTCTCGAGATAGATTAAGGAGCTATAGATCTTTTTAATGTGGGGTCGGAAACTCGACAAACTCAATATCGGCAGTACATTAAAGGGACCGGTCACTTTGTCGCTATATATTGGATGATTCCGATGAGATTACGCGTAATTTTTTGCAAAGTTGAAAAAAATCGCTCTCGATAATGGCAACGTTTTGTTCACAAAAATACAAAAGCAAATGTGATCCAAAATTTAAAAGAATCGCTTTGAACTGCAGATCAAATTGAGTACACCGTCTAAGTATCGGATTGCACTTGATGTTACTTTTTTATATAGTTTTAAACTTGTTGATGTGGTTTTATAGTGATTCGAATATCATTCTGGACAACTGTAAAGTTTCATTTAAATTCTAAGGGCATTTCAAAAATTCTTGGTGGTATGACTGATGGCTGATGTTTAATTGGTAGTTTTGGTTAATTTAATTGGTGACTAACTTAAAACAAAATACTTGAATTTTTTCAAGTCTTTTCGAATATTCATAAACCCAAAAATTAAAATCGCGCTCCGAAATCATTGTAATCGTAAATTTAACTTTGCGCAAGTTATTTAGATATTTAATCTAATATTAATATCTAGATATTTAATCGCCGAATCCCATTACAACCTAATAGACAACAGCAGACAAAGATTTTTCAACTTGAAAAATATTCATAGTTAGCCGGACATCTCCAAGCTGATAGCAGGCACCAGGGATGCATTTCTGGAAGAATTCGAATTTTAATCGACAATATCTAAAAAAGCGCAACTCCTCGCTAATCTTTCTCGAATCCGTGAAAAATTGAAGTGTCTCTCAATGTTAACGCCTGCACCTAAGGGGCCGGATGTTTCCCTTCACATGTTAAGGCCCGCGAGGGGTCGGCCCCATCCTGCCTCTACATTGTGTGAACTTTTAAATTTAGACAGTTTTGTTTTTCCCCGGGGCACTGTAGACAACACGAAAACGTAGAAAGTTACTGCAAGAGTTGTCTTAATTCCCTTTAACTTCTATTAAAAGTCAGTAGTTGCGACAGAGTTTTCGTCGATAGTTACGGTAAGCGTTCCTATGTAC